CTATCTATCTATCTATTATCTCATATGTTTATCTCTATCTGCTGTTCTATCATCTATCTATCTATCTATCTATCAATCATCTATTAATCACCTATCTATCTTCTATCATCTATCTATCTATCTATCTATCTCTGCTTATCTATCAATCATGTATTATCTATGTATATATTCACTATCTATCCACCTCCCTACAGACAGATGGTGGAAGACTGTTTCATGGTGTTAAAATTAATAGGCAACAGGCTTTTTAAATTTTCACATAGTTATTATTGTGCATTATAGGTTATTAATGTATATTGTTTATTATTTGCCCCCTTTAAAAGAAATAACTTTTACAAGATAAAATATATGTGTTTTTTTCATGTATAGCAAAAGCATAATATGCTTCTTATAAAATAAACTTTACATTTCAATTTGAAAATGAACACAATAGAAAAATGAACTATAGGCAATTACCAAAGTAAAGCTATAAATGAGCTAGAAAAAATGGAAATTCAACATCACTAGCAATTTGATTTTTGAGACAGTGCTTTGCTAAGTATGTAGTCCCAGCTGGCCTGAAACTTGTGATCCTTCGGACTCAGCCTCCCAAGTGTGGGAGTTGCAGGTGTGTGCTACCACGGCCAGCTCAACCTCACTGGTAATTAAAAAAAATAGATTCATTTTTTTTTGATTTTTAAAAAAGAGTACTGAGCTGGGGAGATGGCTCAGTGGGTAAAGTACTTGCCATGCAAGCTTGAAGACAAGACCCACAGGAAGCTGGATGCAGTGGTCGATGTCTGTCATCTTAGCACTTCTACAGAAAGATGGAAATGGAAAAGAATTCTGCCCAGGAGCTGGCCTGGCACACACAGCTCAGAACAATAGGTGACTGTGTCTCAAGGTGAAATATGAAGACCAACACCTGAGGTTGTCCTCTGACCTTCCATGTGTGCTGTGGTTTGTGCAACTAGGACAGACTGTAAACACACACACACACACACACACACACACACACAGTATTAATTTTCTATGATGGCAAGTGCTTAAGGCTATGTGTTATCTTGTGCAATGCAGATATGAAAATAGTATTTCTAGAGAATATATCTGTACATGGTTCCAAAGCCTACACTATGCCTTTCATTATTTCCCTAAGATTTTTTTCAATAGCAAAAAAAAAAATGTATTTTAGCATTGTCATCTGTAGTGAAGCTGAACATCTGCTGGATGGCACGTTTATTTTTTGTGTGAGTTTTAATTTTTTTCAAGTTCAGATCACTAGTTTGCTTCCCTAGCATTTATACTGATGCTCTGTATTGTAGGAATTTGAGTTCGGTACTGTTTTCTTCTCCAAATAAAGATTATTTTCCCCATCATGGAGTCACTTGAGCAATTCAAAAAGGGAGACTTGCTACCAAATGCGGGGCAAACATTGGTAAAGCACCAAGTCTATGTAAGTGTCCAGATATCAAACATGACCCCAGTGCCAGGCCATTTTGGATATTCTCAGGTATTATGGTAGAACTGACAAAGAAAAATTTCCATCACTTCACGCAGTATTATGAACCAATTCCATATCATCATTCTTCTAAAACTCCAATTTAATTTCAGAATATCAATTTTATGGGTATATCATAATTTAATACTCTTACATTAGGAACATTTGGAGTTTTCTAGCTTTCATTATCATAAATAGATGATTACCTATATTTGTACATGTCCATAAATATCTTGGAATTTCTGAGCCACATGGCATGCACAATATTAAAAGTTTTGTTATGAGGGCTAGAGAGATGTACTGCTCTTGCAGAGGATCTGAGTTAGGTTCTCAACACCCACGTTAGGTGCCTCACAACCTCCTGTAGCTCCAGCTCTACAGAGTCATCCAGGTTTAGCTTATTTCTCTGTAACATACAGCAACACCGTATGCTGGTAGAAAGCTTGTCCTGTTTTGGTTGGCCATAAAATAAGCTTTATTACTCTGTGCCAGTTACACAATCTGTCATATATGTATGCACTTAATAAATGGGTGTAAGGATAACACATCAATATAAGAGGAAATTATGAGGCTTAAATTACTATATTTAAAGTGTAGGAAGGAGGAATTTATGAGGGAAAACTGATAGAATTGTGGGTATGAAGGAGAGGGTAGAGTCTAGAGTCATTTCTGTCATTTTGTTTGGTTGCCTAGAGACACCATTAATAAGCTCCAGGAGGTTGTCCAACAGAGAGGCCAAGCTCCCACAGTAGGCATATTTGATGATTTCAGGTAGTTTTCCAGGAAGCAGTTTTTAAAAGTTTACTTTTAACAAGTGAGATCATTTCTCTATTGCCCAAACTACCTATTAGGTTGAATTCAAGCAAGCTAGCACACAGTAGACTGCTATTTTCTCTCCTGTCCATTTGTTTCTAAGGAGAATTGAGATTCACGTTATATCAGGAATAAACTCATCACTTATGTCAGAAATATATAGCCTTATATTATAGATAGTAAGCAATATATATATGGGGTGGTCTCCACTGAGAAATCTTAAACATTGGGGATTTGAGTCTAAACAATTAAGTAACAGGATAGTACAGTCTCCTACACAGAATTTAATAAGCACAATATTAGTGTATGTATTCTATGACCAACTAATTGGCTTCTAAAGGAAAAAAAAATATTAGAATGCACAACAGCTTTGCTTGTCAAACAGCTTGGAACTATAGAGCATCTTTCGAAAGCTAATATCATACACCATGTTTCACAATATTTGGTGGCATGTGGCACAGAATTAGTGGATGGCAAATTTGAAATGTGTGGTTTCAAAACCACACAGAAGAAAAAGGTGTCAAGGAGCCCATTGACTGTTGCTTTGCACATTGTTATTTCTACCAGGGTGTTCATTGCCTAGATGAAGTAAAAGAGAGACAAAAAAAAAAAAAAAAAAAACCTCAAAAAGGACAAAAAAAGTCAGAAGACACAAAGAGGACAGCAAAGGAAAATGTGCCAATATTGTTTTCAAAGAAAAGGCAGATTATTGTTATGAAATATTTTTTCAGAAAAACAGTGGAAACGAAATAAGCAAATTATATTCATAACAAGTGCACACAAAGGGAGAATTTCTGATGGAGAACAGAGACAGAAAAGGGAGCTTAGAAGCCCGGTGAGCACAAAGCCTTCCAGATTTCCCATTTTATTTCTCAAAAATCTATCAGTGAGATAGTCACACAACTCTAGAATGCAAATATGTAATCATGCATTCAAGAAAGAAATATGATAGCAAACCCTAACATGTATCTTTGGGTAATGGCAGGATGGTTTCCCTCTTTTTAGTTTTCTGTTCTTTACCTAAATATCTTACATAGACACAGTAGTTTTGTAATAGACAAGATGGACATTGATTCACACTGAAGCTGACAATCTGGCTTTGGATTCAAACTGAGCATAACACTCACTCTCTTGTCTCCCAAGGACAGTCCATCCTGCATAATGTGCATTACAAACTTTTCCCATAAGGGTGAAGTTAGCAGCTGTCATGTGATAGGTTTCCTAGCCTGTGTCTTCTAATCACTTATTTCAGTGTGATCCCTCTGCCCCATGCGTTCTGCACTGTCAGTTTTTCCTGAGAAACAAGCAACCCACTCCTGATGACTATCTTTAAACTCTTTCGTCTCTGATCTTTTGGGGCCTCTGCTGTAGGATTCCTCAGGCTCACAGACTCTGAAAAGAGACTGCAAGGTATTATTTAAGCGTCTTTGATCTTAGACACCCACGATTCCCTCTGCCCTCTCACACATGCGTTCTAGAATTCGGTGGATACTAGGGAAACTGGGTCTGTCCGCAGGCAGTTTGCTCCAACACAGACGCATGAGATTATACAGTTCCAACGGGCAGTTCTCAGGGCAGGAGAGGATGTTGCCATCTCGCACGTAGTAGATGACCTCCTCATGAGCCATCCCATAGTAGGGCTGCAGGCCGTAGGAGAAAATCTCCCAGAGGACCACACCATAGGCCCACACATCTGACTCGGTGGTATAGCGGTTGTAGAATATGGATTCCGGAGGCATCCATCGGATGGGGATGGCGTCGTTTTCGTTAGCTTTGTAGTAGTCTGCCGAGTAGATGTTCCTGGAGAGGCCGAAGTCTGCAATTTTCACCACCATATTCTCGCCTACCAGACAGTTTCTGGTGGCTAGATCCCGGTGGACAAACTTGCGTTCAGAGAGGTAGGCCATGCCGGCTGCCACCTGCCTGGCAATGCAGAGCTGTTCTGCACAAGAGAGGGGTGGGGGTCCAGGGCTGGACACCTGAGCCCTCATGGACAGGTCGCTATGGCTGAGGCTGCACACGGTGTGAGGGGACATGCTACGGAGAAACTCATTAAGGTCACCATAGGCCATGTATTCAAAGAGCAGACACATGGGCTTTCCCACGGCACACACACCTGCAACCAAAACAGTATCTTGGTTAGACAGGATCTTAAAATTCCACAGGGAAAGAACAGTCCAAAAACAAATGAGTAGATCAGAAAGTATGGGGTCCCACTTTCTATGGACAGCCATCAGTCAAACTCTGACCCCCACTTCTTTGCTTAAACATCCCTGTTACCTTTAAAAATTTAGTGTATCTGTCTCTTCTTACTGTGTCTCAATTCCTGACCCTTTTTTCCTCCATTCCAAATTTCCCTTCTGTCTTCTTTTCACACAGCACTTACCACCCTATTTGACACAGATCTATTTATTAGAGATGTTCCCCCAACATCTTTTGACTTTGGATGGAGAGATTATGTGAATAGTTGGGTAGACAGAAAACCTCATGCCTGTTCCAAGCCATGGCTTTACTTTAGTGTCACGTATTCAACAAATCCTCTCCTCATCCCTCTGCTGTTTCCTCAACTGTCCGAGCAGCAAGAGCCACTACTAATGACTCTTATTGTTTAGAAATTCCACATCTTTTTTTTTTTTTAAAAAAATATTTTGGTATTTTTATTTTATGTGTACAAGTGTATTGCCTATATGTATGTGAGTGCACCTGTGTCATGCAGCGCCACAGAGGTCAGAAGAGGGCTTTGGATTCTCCTTGAATTGGAGTTAAAGACGGTTCATAGCCTCCATGTGGGTGCTGGGAATCGAACCCGGGTCCTCAGCAAGCGCAGTCAGTGCTCTTAACTGCTGAGCCATCTCTCCAGTCCCACATCTCTTTTTCTTATTTTTATCTTTTCCAAGTTATAATTAGGAAACCGGTATACATTGGAATTTCAATTAAAAGGATTTCAATAAATTTTAAAAACACATGTTCTGGGACTGGAGAGAAGGCTCAGAGGTTACAAGCACTGGCTGCTCTTGTAGAGGACCCAGGTTCTGTTCCTAGCACCCATGCGTCTGTTAACAGCTGTCTGTAACTCCAGTTCCAAGGGATACAACACCCTCTTCTGGTCTCCTTGGGCATTGCATGACATGGTTGCACTTACATACATGCAGGCAATACGTTCATACACATTAAACAAAATAACAAATAATAAATAAAATATTAAAAAACATATTCAACAAGAGCTTGATAGTCTAAATTAAAACTGTATTCTATTGGAAGTGAATTTTATGAACTTTTTAAATGCCCCATCTTTTTTGCATGGAATTAACTTTTAAGAAACTGTGAACTAGGGCTGGAGAGATGGCTCAGTGGTTAAGAACACTGCCTGCTCTTGCAGGGGACCTGGGTTTGTTTCCAGTACCTGCATAGCAGCTAAAAACTGTCTTTGGAACTCCAGTTCCAAGGGATCCAATGCCCTCTTCTGGCCTCTGTGAGTACTGCATGCATATGGTGCACTTGCAGGCAAAACACTCATAAAACACATAAATAAATAAATAAATAAATAAATAAATAAATAAATAAATAATAAAAATAAAAAAGAAGAAACTGAAACCAGTGGAACTATACACAAGAATCATTGCTGCTTATGTATAGTTAAATAAAAACAGATCCTGAGTTTATCGAATGTGGAAATGGAATTCAGATATAGTAAGTGGTAATAAAAATCCAGTTCCTGTTGGGCAACAAAAATGAAACTAACTTATCCTAATGGTGTACAAACACGCTACCACAATGATGACAAATTAGCAAGTTGTAGCTAGTGAGTTTGAATCCATCCCAGGAACCCAAGATACTCTGTAAAATTGCAAATGTATAGATGAATGCAGAATCAACATTTTAAAGAGCAATACGAATTAATTTGCAACAAGAAAGTATCTTAAGGGTCTAAGAGATGGCTCAGTAGTTAAGAGCACTTGCTGCTTTTGCAGAGAACCCGGGTTTGGTTCCCAGCACCCACATGGCAGCTAACAACCATCTGTACCTCCAGTTCCAGGGGATCTGCAATCCTTTTCTGCCTTCTGCAGGCACCAGGTATGTGTTGTACTGTACCTCCCTACATGCATGTAAAACAGTTATACACATAAAATAAATACATCTTTAAAAAGAAAGTATCTCAACTTGTTGCTCATTGAAGGTCATTGGCAAAGGCTTTCAAGTCATACAAAATTCAAAACGTAAGACTAATATCTCTCCTTAGTATGTATTTTAAGCTTTATTGCTGTATTTTCTGAGCCTGATAGATATCTAGACAAATACAGAAGGACGAATCTGGCTTTCTTCACGCATCATCAACATTTCTTGATATTCTAGCTTACAACACTTGAGGGAATGTTTAAGACAAAACTCACAAATAAAACACCTCAGTTAAAATTCATTGTTAGTGTGGCTTTATGAGAATTGAGTTTGAGGTGGCCATAAACATCTAGGAAGCTATAGACAGTTTATATCTTCAGGTTAGAAGAGAAAGATGGTTAGAGGTTTTCACTTTCTTTTGAGTTATCAAGATGTTGGGTAGGGCATGACGTGGCCCAAGAAGAGGTGTATGAAAGACAAGCAGAGAGTGGGAAAGATGGAGGCAGGGTCCCAGGGCACACTGAATTTTGGAGGGGAGCTAGAGACAGGACTGTGGAAGAGAAGCCCTTGGATAAGATTGAAAGACCATCCATGCTGATGAGTTGGTCATGTTAGAGTCTTCTCATTTGACATACTACATGTAACATCTGAATGTTCACCTTTTAAAAATACTTCTATTGATACCTAGGACCCTATAATGATTTAAATCATAATATTCTAGTTAAGGAAGAAATAAAATTAACAAGTGAAATACATGTATTTTCAGACATTAGTAAATTCTGTAGTGCAAAGGAATATTCTTCATGTGGGGGATACTTGATAAATACTATAACCAGGGAGAGGGAGCAAAGACAGAGAAAGCCTGAAATGATGGCTTTATAGAGGGGTATCTGTGAACATGGCATGTCCTGAAGATTTGGGATACAGTAAGCCTTGGGGAGTAGGTGAAAGGTCTAAACTTGGAAGGAACAAACATCACACTGACCATGGACTAAAACGAAAGGACAGACAAGTAAAAGAGAAAGGAAGAAAAGCTTAGAAAACCTGTCTTCTGAGGAACGATTTTTCTTCACTGATATTTCCATACCTAAGAGTTTCACAATGTTTGGGTTGTCAAATTCTGCCATGAGGGCTGCTTCCCTCTGGAAGCCTGCTTGCATGTCCGCTGAGGCCTCTTCTTTGAGCATCTTCACTGCCACCATGGTGAAAGGTTCATAGGGAAGTAAGCCTGGAGCCCTGAGAGATAAGCCAAAGATCAGGAAAATTCTACTATACTTACATCCACTCACATTTATATAATCCCCCCCACACACAGCCTTTTTTTTAGAGCCACAAAACCAAAGGAAGATGGCGACAGCGAGTCACACTTATAACACCTGCATTCCAACGAATAAACCCACTTGGATTATTCTCAGAAAAGACTAAGTTTGAAAATGCACTATTTGCCAATTAGAGAGACCTAATAGGTCTCTCATTGCCATTGCTATCCCTTAACCTTCAGCCAGAATCTAAATTCCTTGAAGGCAGAGACTGTGAATGGCTTCCTTGTCTTCACGCCGCCCCCACCCTCACCCCAGCCTAAAGCCGCACCTTACAAATTCTGGTTCACAATAAGTGTTTTTGTGAAATTTTTCGTATAACCTTAATATCAGGACCACACTAGGTGGAAGTAGGTCTGTGTCTTGTTCAAGGTCAACAGTGACATTTGACAAATCCAAGTCCACATTGTGTGGTCCAGCAGTGTGTCTGTGGCACTACAGAGGGCAGTCTATTCTATTTTACAACAAAAGGGAAGAAATGAGCTAATATTGGCTGCAACATACGACCTTTCAAAAAGTATCATTTTTAGTTATGAGTGTGCATAGGTGTTTGTTTATGGGTACATGCAGGTGAGTATGGGTGTCTATCAGGCCAGAGGCATTGAATCTCCCTGTCTCTGAGTCATAGGCAGGTATGAGCTGCTTTGCGTAGGTATTGCAAACAGAATTCAGGTCCTTTGCAAGAGCAATAAGCACTCTTAACCACTGAGTCTTCTCTCTTGCCCCTATGTGGTCTTCTTAAACTCTCTGCTTTTTGAATTTTCACATTTTTTCTTTCTACTTGTTATTCAATGAATGTCTATGTAATGTCTACACAAGTCAAAATCTGAGTTCTTGAATTAAAACGCTAATTCAAGATGAACTTAAAGTGGAGAGTGCATCACTAGAAAATTGAAAGATAAGTAAATTGGAGTCATTACTAAAAGCAATGTAAGAAATAATGGCTTAAATGTATGGAAAATTAGTTTCTGGAAAGGAAATATGATTAAATTACAAATAAGTTGTGATAAATTTTTTTTGCAAATGAAGCTATATTTGGATTTCTTATAAATTAATTTAACTGCAGTAAAATATATTCTTTCTAGGTATATTCCTATTTTCTAATAAAAAAGGAAAATAAGATTTAAAGTATGCAATACAAATAAGTTAGTGATATAACTAACTAATCTGATAAGAGCCATTTTAAGCAGTAGCTATACATCAGGCTAATGATCTGGTAACTTTTCAAATGCAGTAAATTTCAACAGAGAAATGATTACTTTTTCCACAGTTAACTTTACCTTGCTTGAAAGACCCTTCCAAATGCTCCCTCTCCGATGTCTCTGACATATTCAATGTTATTCCTGGGATACTCCAGGCTGAGCAACTTGGGATTCAGGAGGAGGGGCATCCTCTGATACATGGGGTTGGGATGGAGCCTGTCCAGTAGGAGCTCAGAAGGCAAAGTGGTGAGGGTCACAGCTGCTGACTCTCTGTAGAAACACAGACAAGATCAACCACTTTTGCACCAAGACCTAGATCCTTAAAGCTATTCAGAAGTGCAGAAAGACATTATACTAAGGTGGCCAAAGATTCTTAGGTTTGAAAACAATGAAGTACTATGTTTGAACTCTGGTCAAAAGGCACATTTTCTCAGGAATTTTGTCACTTTATATTGGCAGTGTCAATGGTGTAGAGAGAGAAAAGAAGATGCTGGAGTAGCTGTTTTCATCCAAATAATTGTTTGTGTTCTATCTGTCAGGAAAAACTGATGTTGGTACATGTGGCACTAAAATATTTTATTATTTTTATTGAATGTGTATGTGTGTATTGCCTGCATGAATGTAAGTGAACTCACGTCATGAAATGCCTGTGGAGGTCAGAGAGGGTGTCAAATCCCCTGGAACAGGAGTTACAGATGGTTGTTAGCCACCATATGGGTGCTGGGAACTGACTCTGGGTCCTCTGCAAGAGCAGCTGGTGCTCTTAACCACTGAGCCATCTCCCCAGTCCCGCATGTGACATTTTAAAAGATCAAGGTAAGCGTGTATATTTTTGTTTGTTTTCTTGAGAAAGGGTCCCCCATAGCCCTAGCTATAACTTGTTTTAGCCCATAACTAAAACTTGCTATGTAGATCGGACTGTCTTTGAACTCACAGAGATTGGCCTGCCTCACCCTTCCAAGTGCTGGGATTAAAGGAGCATGACATCATGCTGGCTGGGATTCCAATTTTAAAGCGGGAGTATGATGCTATTAAAACAATGGTGGTGACACGTATTTAACTTCTTAGCCTCGATTCACATATTAAATATGTAGGTTTGAAGGCATGACTTTGTTCATTAGCCTCAACTAGAACCTCACCGTTGCTTATTTTTCCATTCTTTTCTTCTTCGACAGCAGTAAAGAGTGGTGACGGTAAGCAGTGCAAACACAGCAAAGCTGGACATGATGGAGATGATGACGGTCATCGGGTATGTGGGCGAGACAACGAAGGAAGAGGAGGAAGAAGACAAGTTTGGAATGTCCACGCTTGGCTTGGAGGACGTTATTGACGGGAATGCTGCAAGTAAACAGTAATTCTTTTCATTCCTTCTCAAATAGCTAAAAAGCAATTTTTATATTCAAGCCATCAGTAACAATGCTAAAACTATATCAAGTTCTCCCTCGCTGTATAGTTAGAAAGTCCAATATGAAAACTCCAGTAAGGTTCATTAGCAAGGAAGGTGAGACCCAGAGAGGAAACATTATTTTCCAGTAGTAACGTAGATCCTGAGTTTAGGCTCTTATAATGTGTCATATTGCCTTTGACAGAACTGGGGAAATTGTGCAAAAAAAAAAGTTTTCATGTAATGAGACTGAAAGTTGAGACTGTCAGAGCTGAACTTATATATACATTTATTATAGGTTTACAAACAATAAACTAATGGAAGAAGATGAAAAATGGAACTACAAATGAGCAGAAGTTAATTCATCTAAAACTTTAACTGTTGTCAAACTCCAATGCCAAAGGCCAGTGTGATTTAAAAACAAGTAACGTCCATATGAATGTGGGAAACTGACAGATGCCATACTCTGTCATTGTGTTTGCAGTGACCAAAGTCCACAGTGTACCCATTAAAACAACCCTTATTACTAATACTTTGAATCCTTTTGATAGGCTGAGTAGAGACAAGGCATGGAAACCAAATATTTTATAACACAGCCAGGAAGAATGTTTTGACAGCAAAGAATGAACTTTGTAGCCTAAAAAGAATAAACCCATCATTCTTGAGAAAGACTGACAGGTGTGGTCTATGCCATGGCACAAATATAAATGTCAATAAGCTTCAGAAGCATAAATTCTGAAGCTTTGATTTCTGACCAAAATGCATTTAATGACAGATCAAATAAAATCCAACAGGACTTTCTGAGCACAATATTGTATAACTGTAATAATTCAACTGCAAACCTAAAAATTTACAGCCAATTTTGGAAGAGATGCATCTTAGCTCAGGAAATTTTTATTGAATATGTCCATGCTGTTGTAATGAAATGCTTCTTCTAAGTATATGGTTATTAAATAAATAATTTAAAAAATCCAACAGGACTATTAAGAAAAAGGAAAACCTATAACTTTTGATTACAAAATTAAAGTATCCATGGTTATAGACTAGAAAACAGAAATCTTAACAGTATGTCTGACATTTGACCAAAACTGTATTCATCGATAAACTTATCATTTTATCTTCTTCCATTAGATATAAAAAGGTGACTGGAATTCTTAAGACTTTAGACAAGAAACAACTACAGCAAAAAGAAAAGAAAAGAAAAGAAAAGAAAAGAAAAGAAAAGAAAATAGGGTACAGTGACACCCACATGCAGCAGACTTAGTAAGTTAGAATCACACACCACGAATGATGTAATTGAAAAGAAAGCTCAATTCTGTCTTATAAATATTTATTACATGGTTTAATGTGTGAAAATTTAATTTTAAAAAGAAAATGGAGAAATTAGAAACAGAAATTAAGAAAGAGTGGTTATTTCAATAGATTTACAGGTTAATAAAAATAGTATATAATTATGTAATTGCATTTTAAAATATTCAGAAAAGTGACAGAAACACATTAGTTATCAAATTTGAAGACTGAAAGAATGTGAATATAAGCAAGAAATTACTGTAAAAATCATTGTAGAATCATAAATATATTCTTTTAGACTTGAGAGAGGCAAAGTTTCCATATTTTAATAATACGTTTCATTTAGGGAAAATATTTCAAATTCTTTCAGGAAGTTATAGTACTAATATACAACCTGGCAATATCCACATAAAAGATAAAGGTATGCATCATCACACAGAGGAGATTTAGAAGTTCCTAAATGAACAATTGGCAATTGTCTCCAATATAAATAGAATAATTGTTTCGTAAATAGGAATATATTAATATATCATATAACAAAGTTAAAAAAAACACCTTTATTTCAACAGGAGTCTAATGTCATTGAAAAAGGACCTTTTAAAAAGTGATAGTTATAAGAGGTGCCCTGACTTCATAGTGGGCATATCTAACCACCAGTAGCTGAGCAAATGAAAACCTTTGTTAAATCAGGGACCCAATCCAAAGTCATTGAAACACAGCTCAACTCACATGAAAGCAGATGGTTTAAGGGGTACATAGGTATGGTTTCCTAGGAGCAGGTACAGTGACCAGCCCTGACTATCAATGGTTAAGCAAGTGATTTCAAACTGTGGAGGCTTAGTTTGGTCACTGCTATGACTCAGAAGGCACTTGGGACAGGAAGACCATCAACACAGCAGTAAACATCTGTGCTGGACTGGTGATGGATGTCCCATCAAGCCACAGTGGTGTGGTCTTAGATTTCCCAGGTTCCCCTAGGACTCACTTGAAAACTGGCTGGGATTCTTTTGGGACTAAGTTACTCCTAGTTTTTCAACCCAAGATGAGGAAGTAAGCCTTAAAACAGTGAGCTGTATTTCCTGCTCTGAATCAATTACACAAAATTATAGGAGCAATTATTAAAGTACATGGATAGATGTCCATTTTTGCATCTGGACTTTACAGAGCTGTTCATGCCATATGAAACATGTGAGAAAATACAATATACATTTTTAAGTTGGTAGTGTATTCTCATCAGTAAGTATAAGGGCAATTTTTCTCATAAGTATCAGAAAATAGGACCAGAGAGATGGTTCAGTTTATAAAGTGTTTTCTGCACAAGCATGAGGACCAGGGTTTGGAGTTCCAGCACCCATGTAGAAAGCCTGGCAAAGTCAAACTGGTGCTGACCTGGAACCTCATCCCTACTGCCTAGCTTTCATACTGATGGAAGGTGTTATGCATGCTACTGGAGGAGAAAAGTAGTCATCAGTCTTTCTCAGCTGTGAACTGCATGGGCAACAATAATGACCAGCCTGGCAAGGTATGTCCACTGGGGCAACAGTGGTACGAATGTCATGAGAAAAACCAAGAAGTTTCTGGGTGGCTCTAAGGCGTGCTCCACTAGATGGAGCCCATACCTGGCACCACTATGGAGGCCAGGAACCTGTGGCTAGAGAGGTCATAGAGCCTAGGGGAGAACCTGCTACTATTATTCTGCTAAGTGAACACAGTGCCAAACCGAGTCATAATTATTTGTCATTACACTCATAGATTACTGCGCCTCTCAACCGTCATCAGAAAATCTTTTTACAATAGAAGGTGATTAACACAAAGACCCACAACTGGTCACAGTGCAGACAACAAGAGACTGCAGAGTGCTCAGCCCTAAATGGAACATCTACATCATACCTCCTCCTCCCAAAGCTCAGGGATAATCACTGAAGAAGGAGCGGAAAGATTCTAAGAGTAAGAGGTGGTGAATAAATATAGTGAAACAGTATTTTCCAGATACAACAGGGCGCTGGCACATATGAACTCACAGTGGTTGTAACGACAAGCACAAGCACAAGCCAGACAAGACCCCACCATGGCGTGGGGAGGTGGGCATGAAGTCCTATCCCTAGATGAGGAGCTATTGACAACTGACAGCTGCTGGGAGAGGGAGAATCAGCTTCCTCTAAGAGTGTGACTGACCTCTGGTGGGTCAAGCATGCTCCAGTGTATGACTACACAAATGGGCAGCACAAATTGGACTCAATAGTTAAAAAATGAAACAAAACAAACAACAACAAAAACCCAAAGACACAGAATTGGGTGGGTAGGAGAGCAAGGGTGGATTTCAGAGGAGTTGGAGGAGGAGGGTGAGCATGTTCAAAATACGTCGTAGGGCTGGAGAGGTGGCTCAGCGGTTAAAAGCACTGAGTGCTCTTCGAGAGGACTCGGGTTTGATTCCCAGCACCCACATGGCAGCTACGTACTGTCCTTAACTCCAGTTCCAGGGGAACCCGATACCCTCTTCTGACCTCTGCGGCATTGCACGACACGGGTGCACACACATACATTCAGGCAATACACTCATACACATAAAATAAAAATAATAAATAAAATATTTAAAAAATACATTGCATGCAATTCCCAAAGAATGAATAAAAATTTTGGAAAAGCTGGGGATGAGTAACACATACATGTGACCCCAGTGCTGGGAGAATGGGGGTAACAGACACAGATGGATCCCTAGAGCTCACTGGCCATCTAAACCACCAATCCATGAATACCAGGTTCAGAGAGAGACCCTGTCTCAATAAATAAAGTAAAGAGCAATAGAGGCAGACACCTGCCATCAATCTCTGGCCTTTACACACACAGGCATGGGAGTGCACATCTGCACACACATGCATACACTATATCCCCCCCCAAAATAAAATAAATTTCAATGCTGTGTTTAAAAAAATGCATGAGAACTCAAATTTCTTTTTTTAATGCAAAAAGTTACATAGTTTGACCAGCAAATTTGTTATGTGGATTTAAACATTCCTTTTATTAAAAAAGTTTTATGTGTATGAGTATATTGCTTGCATGTATGTAAGACCACCCACATCATGCAATGCCTTCAGAGGTCAGAAGAAGGCATTGGATCCCTTTCAACTGGAGTTATGGATGGTTGTTAGCCACCATGTGGGTGCTGGGAATTGAACCCCAGTGCTCGTAACCACTGAGCCATCTCTCCAGCCCCTGAACATTTCTTTCTTTCAGGTAATTCTGTTGTGATTCCTGGATTATTGCTTCTGACCCCTAGGAAGAACAGGAGGCTCCTAAAAAGGGCAACAGTGGTTCAGGTCTAGGCACTCTGGGTGAATTTTCTGAAGCAAATTTAAGTTAGACATAAATAATGGAGAGGCAATATCAATAGAGCGTTGCTATTGTATGAGCATTTGTGCCCTCCAAAAGCCATCTGTGATTTGTGCTCTTATAAAAGGGGTTTAAGAGATCTCCCCATCCCTTCTGCCACATAAGTTACAGTTATGTCTACAGTCTATGACAACTATGTCTAACGTCCTCACAGTCAGTCTTCAGAACTGTAAGAAATAAAATACTGTGTCTTTTGTTACAGTATCCTAAACAGACCAAAACAAAGGTGCATGTGTGAGGGTGTGTGTAAGGGGATAAAGAGAGTGGGCTGGAG